CCCTTTTCGTTTGTAGAAATGATGTGATATCGTCCTGTCAGATTATGCTTTTTATGCAAGCTTTATCTCCGTTGGATCAGCTATAGTTGTAGCAAATTCTCTGTTCACTTGGTCTTGTATTGGTACCATTTTCTACCCTTGCTTACATTATTGATAGTAGTATCTGGGACCTCTGTAGTATTAGTTTACATTCATTGACAAAGTAATCGTTTGCTAGAAAGTAGGCTACATAGTTCCTTTTCAGATTCAGTTCATGGAAAATTTTCTAGTCAGTGGGCGATACCAGCTGTAAAGAAATTAGCCGATGGTTCTAAGTAAAGCTGAGAAAGGAACTCAGACACGTTGAGTGTTTCAGTATTTCATCATCGGCCTTTGTTGATCATCTAAGACTTTGCCATAGACCATAGACTTCTGTTTTCTTCCATTTTCATCTCTCTTGATCCAGCGAAATTCTTCAGCTCACCCTGTCGTCACTATGGGGGTCTTCCTATGGGCTGTTTAGTTTCTCTTGGAACCCAGTCTTTCAGTTCAAGCGACGGTCGGTTCTTCTCACAGTATGCTCTGCCCGTTGCCAATTTAACTTCATCAATTGAACAATGACATTGCCTACACTCTGCTCTCTCTGTTTCATTTGTCTTCCTAATCGTTCTCCTTATTCTGAACAGACATCTTTGCATGGTGCATTGCGTAGTCTGCAATTTACGAACAGCTTCCAAGTTTTGGGCTCAGGTTTGGTGCCCATAGGCGGTCACTGGGAGAAACCTTTCCTTTTAGAGCCCAAAAACTGTTTCTCCCGGTTAGGAACGGATTTTCAATCTTCCTAAAGTACTCCATGCCATTTTTATTCTGCTCTTGATTTCCAATAGTCGGTTTCCAGCTGCAGAGGCGAATTGTCTCGGATAGACTTAGTTTTCTACCTCTTCGTTCCAAAGTTCATTAACTTCAACAGTCCGCAGAGTCACGTATTTGCTAAGACCTGAATCTTCTTGAGGTTCACTTTAAGTCTTACCTTGATGCCGGCGTCATTCATTTATTGAATTCTTCTTTAAGGTTCTTCTGTTGACGTTGAAAAGATCCGAATATCATCCACAAACCGCAGGTGGTTTAAGTTATGCCGATTTATCTTTAGCCCTTGTCTGAATGCTTTCATAATTTCTTCTAGAGCGGCTGTGAATAACTTCTTCTCACTGTCGAGCGCATGTTTCGTTTTTGAACTTTCATAAAACTCCACACTAGCAGTTAGATTTTTGTAAATCATGGTAATGCCATCTTTGTATTTTTTTCTCGATTCCCTGATTCCTCAGGGAATTCAGGTACATAGCGAATATAAACTGAGTTGAAGCATTCTAGAAATCGACGAATGTCAGTCAGAAACAAAGCTTATATTCATTTTTGTTCCGAAGTACTTGTTGTACCACCTGACGATTATCCATCGTACTAAATCCACTTTTGAATCCTGCTTGTACCCTTCGCTGTACAGCGTCCAGTTTTTCTTGATGACAGTATGTTCTTGAAAACCTTGTAAATGATCAGCAGTAAGCTGATCGGCGGGTAGTCTTTCAAATCCTCTCTATTTCCCTTTTATGGGAGAAGAATCACCGATGCGGCAGTGCAATCGTTTGGAATTTTTTTCTTTCTTCATTTCGGTACAGCGCTGAAACAGGACTTCTTTCAAACAGTGCCTTGAGGCATAAAATGTTTACTGAACAGTCAGATTCATAGTAATGAAGGGTATATTTTTAGATCTCGCGGCGAAGAACATGAAAGAAGTGGAAGACATGGATGAACGGAGCCCCGCCACTCGTCTCTCGCATCGAATGGTGTTTAATAAGGTATTTACTCTGCATATGCAATAAATGAAATCGTACTATTTTGAGTCAGTAGATAATATTGATTAAATTCAGCTTGTTTACACAATTGATTCTAACCTAGAATACGCCAGTGAGGTTTCGATACTGTCAGCTAATGAAATCATGGGTTGGGGTCACTGAAGAGAGTCACAAGGAAGAAGAGGTTCAAACTATTTGAGGAGACAGAATCTTATATGTTAAAATGTTTTCAAGCCATATACGTTTATGATCTGTGAGACAGTGAGGATTGATTTTTCTTGATTAGTAAGAGTCGTTTAGCGGGTAAAGCACCGAACTTACAGTCGGAAGATTTTCGATTCCATCTCAGGCTAGAGTGGTTTATTCTCATTCTGTTGAAA